CCGAACGATTCAACGCAACAGATCCGCTTTTCAGGCAGCATCTATTGGCATCATTAAGCAGGTGAATTTGCGTTGCGCTACTACTGTTTTCTCCGGATAAAACCCAGGCACAAAGACAACCAGCCGGCAATAAAGAAAAGACCACCGATAGGAGTCAGGATGCCCAGGCCACCAAGACCCACCTGTCCATTGATCTTTAGCAAAGTCATTGCATACAAGGAACCACTGAATAGAATAATGCCCGTCAAAAAGAATGCAGCTGCCAGCTTTACGACTTTAAAAGGAAAGGCAGTGAATACGATGCCCGTTATCAGCATGGCAAAGCTGTGGTAAAACTGGTATTTGACGCCGGTTTCAAAGGTTTGAAGTTGTGCTTCCTCCAATACCGCTTTTAACGCATGCGCACCAAATGCGCCAAGAATAACAGCTAATGCGGCCAATAATGCGCCTGTGGTCAATGCCGGTTTGTACATGCAGCAAAAATTTCCGCAAAGGTAACCGCTGTTAGATTCCCGACCTCAAAAATATAATGCGCCTGCCGGTATTTTTCTTCCCGCTCGGCTAAAAGACCACCTAATTTCAGGGCCAGGTTTCCATCAACCAGCAAGGGGCGCTGCTTTACATCGTTGTGTAAATGACTGACCAGTGTGTCAATAGCTGCTTCCAGGTAAATGACACAGCCATTATCTTTCATCTGCTCCAGGTTATCAAAAAACAGCGGCGTACCGCCACCACAGGAAACGATCATGGGACCTTCCACATTCTTGATAATCTGCAGCAGTGTCGCCTGCTCATATTGGCGGAAAACCTCCTGACCATCTTCCTCAAAAATGCGCGTAATTGTTTTTCCGGCCGCCTTTTCAATAAGGTCATCCATATCTACATGCGGCCATTGGTAGTGTTGCGACAACCGCTGGCCCCATACTGTTTTTCCCGCTCCGGGCATACCAATCAGAAAGATCAGGGATTTCATAACCGGTCAACAATGAATTTCCAGATAAGCAATAAGGAGGCGCCCACTGTGGTGTCTTTGTTCCGCATCCTGTCGGAATGAACCTGGAATGTTTTGCTGACAGTGCGTTCTTTATTGGCCACCGCTACGCAAACGGTGCCTACCGGTATCTTGTAATCATCGCTGGGGCTTAAGAGCCCCGTCACACCAAAACCAATATCTGTTTTCAGCACGCGCAAAGCGCCTTCCGCCATCTGCACAGCCACTTCTTCGCTGACCACACCATAAGCATCCAGCGTTTCCTGCTTTACGCCCAATACATCTTTTTTCACCTGCTCATGGTAGCAAACAATGCTGCCTGTAAAGTAACCAGAAGACCCGGATATCTGCGTCAGTTTATGTGCGATATAGCCACCGGTGCAGCTTTCGGCCAGACCAAGGGTAAGTCCTTTTTCCTTTAAAACATTGCCCACTACGTGTTCCAGCGGAATGTCCTCCAACGCCACTACAATATGCTCCAGCCGGTTGGCGATCTCCTGCTGATGTTTTTCTACTTCCTGTATAAGTGCTGCTTCATCAGGCCCATGACCCGTTAAACGTAACCGTACGATACCCGGGGTTGGCAGGTAGGCCAGTCTTATATGTGGCGGCAGGGCGGTTTCCAAATCAAGTATCTGCTCGGCAATAAAGCTTTCACCCTCACCTGCAGTGATAATGCTGCGGTGTACGATGGCTTCACTCTGAAACCGGTTCATCAGCCGGGGCAGCACTTCATCTTCCATAATGCAGATCATCTCAAACGGCACACCCGGCAAGGAGATAATCACTTTACCATCGCGCTCAAACCACATACCGGGTGCTGTGCCCAGCCGGTTGTGCAATACCGTGCAGACATCGGGCACTTCTGCCTGTTTCAGATTACGCTCCAGGAAAGGACGGTTTCGCTTCAGGAACATCTGTTTTACATGATCCAGTACGGCCTCATCCACCACCAGCTTACCGCCGAAAAATTCGCAGAGTAATGGTTTAGTAATATCGTCAGCAGTAGGCCCCAGCCCGCCGGTAATAATGATCAGTTCGCTCTCCCTGAGCTCATCGCTTAACGAGTTCCAGATGGCTTCCCAACGGTCGCCGACGGCTACGCGGCGCAGTACATCAATCCCCTGGATGTTCAGGTGCTGGGCAATCCATGCCGAGTTGGTATCGATCGTCTGGCCGATCAGCAATTCATCGCCAATAGTGATAATGGCGGCTCTGACATTACTCATAAAGCGTTGTTGATAAAGTGTGGTTCAAGGCGTAAACGAAGCTCTGGATGCATGTCCACTTTTGTCTTCGCTACCGGGTCATAAAATACGAGTGTAGTAACGCCCTTGTTTAGAAATACGCCCTGCTCATTATACAGTTCTGAATGGAATTGTATTTTGGAGCTCTGCGGCAATTCTTTCAATATTGTTTTTACCGTGATCAGGTCATCATACAAGGCAGGACGGTAATATTGTACGTTCAGCTCCACTACCGGCATATGAATACCAAGTGCTTCCAGCTCACGGTAAGTAAACCCTAACTGACGGATCGCTTCCGCACGACCGACTTCATAATAAAGCGCGTAATTCCCGTAGTATAAAAAGCCCATCTGGTCGGTCTCCCCATAACGGACGCGGATCTTTGTTTCGGAAGTGTACATAACCAGACAAAAGTATTTCCTTTTTGCTTGTCATAAGTAGTCATCTTCATTGCATTATTAAAACGGTCTTATTCCTTGAAATACGGCAGATGCGGCTATACTATAAAAGGTAATAAAGCGATGAATATACATAGAGCTAGGTACTATAATACTTCTGGCAATGATGCTACTTTTATATTGCCAATTAATCATCTAGCCTTGCACTTTCCGTTTCCATTAACCAATAGCATTTCTTAACCTATTAAACACAACAATGATCATGACTCTTAAAAACAGCATCGCCGTATTCCTTCTTATCCTATTTACATCCCTGAGAAGTGGCCCCTCTTATGCCGGCAACAAAGACAAGAACAAATCCAAAACGACGCAGAAAGTACAACAGTTAAAACAATCATCAGACGATGGTGGAGACTACTACAACGGTCACAAAGTAATTACCGGACCTCGTGGCGGACGGTATTATGTCAATGGCAATGGCAAGAAGGTTTATATTAAAAAGTAAGTTCGTGGATAACGTTACATCTTGCGGCCTTCGCTTTCATGAAACAACGGATCTTTGAAAGGACGGCCAGGGTGAAGCTGTTTTTTTGTAGTACAGATAATGCCCGGCAAGTTTGCTATTTGAATGACAAACTGTGTTGAAAATAGGCTGCCTTCCACTTGTAGCTCGGAGCTGATCGGCTGGTATGACTGCCGTTGCAAACGGCAGTTTATTTATGTGTTCGAAGTCATCTTTCAGAAGACATCGAACAGCGGCTAAGACATCGAACAATGGCTTATTTAAGATACAAGAAAGACGCGGTATTTTAAAAGCAGCGCTGATACACAAGAGCTATAGCGTTTGTAACAGGTTTTATTTTCAAACCGCGAACCGGCTTCTTATTGCCGGAATACGACAACCACTACCGCCTTGCCCGCCTCACAGGCAGGAATGACTTAACACCAAAGATCAGCGCGGCCGAAAGGTCAACAGGCATCCACCATTGTTTATTGTAGAGATAAACAGGTATCAGCGGATTAAAAATAATGGCGATCGTTCCAAAGGCAATGACCCAGCCACTAAGCCCCCGCCTGCGCTCAGTGATGACTACCATTACGGCCCCGATGGTTACCGCGATTCTTAAAAATGTATAATAGCCAATGGGCAGCGGCGCGATTTCTATCAGCAGCAGTACCGCACAGATCTGAAGTATTGATTTCACCATTCTGTGTTGAGGTTATACGAAAAAATTAAAACGTGCATAGATAACCTATAATCGCTTTAGTGTTCTGATCAGCGCCTGGTAGTCTTTAAAGGCCGCTC